TGAATAGAGTCACAACATGAACTCATAGATATCACCATGAAACTTCAGTTCATCACTCACATTATTTTTTTCTGAAATGTTATGTTTAAATATGCAAATGAGGCATTATGTAATGCTAACTTTTGGTGAATTTAGGAGACATAGTGAAATAAATCTTTACTTTAGTCTGAAAGAAGACGTGTTGTGGAAGCAAAATAGCCAAATATCTTAAAATTGATCAGTGCCTGAACATGTTTCTGCTTGTAGTGTCTGGTCTGAAGCGTGCTACACTCAGTCGCCAGTTTATTAGGTACACCGAGCTAAAACTGACAGTCCTACGTTCACCAAAGTTATAAGGTTTAGTTTAGAGGATCCACGGCCTCTCTGAAGGCAGGTTGTGGTGCTGTTGAGTTGTATTGATGTACTGAGAGGTGTTTCTAATATATCTCATCTACCCTGAAACCTCTGAATGGGATCGACAAATCGTAAGAAACATCTCTTGGTAAAATGCGGGCGTAGGCAACCTTTGAACGCAGCAGCTAAACTGATGGCACGAAATCGATAAGTGTGCCAGATAATTTATTGGAGATGATGAAGAGCCCTCTCATCTGCATGCCACATGACCTTTTTTACAGCCATTGGCAGTTTGATTGGCCCAATCCCAGCATCCCCCCCTAAGGCCTCAAACCCTGAACCCTCGGGGACTTCACTGACGTCACCTGGTGAGCGGTCGAGTGTGAGAGACCGGCGTGAATACGAATGGGGCAGCACTTTGCTGCAACATATCACGTTGCCATGATGTCAAAAAATACAATGTACAATGGAGGGTATTTATCTTAACCGTGTACTCCCTGATTTGAACGTCTTCCAGGCTCTTTCCTTACAAGATGAGAGGTCGTTGTCAAATAATCCATTTACTCGATTTTTGTCAAAACGCTTCAATGACAAATTGAAATGTCTGAGGAATAGATTAATAAATATCCTCTGATTTCAAGTGTTTTTATGTTCCGTCTTTGATTCTCAATGTTTCTGAGTAATGGTAATATTCCAGGCGGAACACACATGTACCGTCCTCTTTGTTTACGTCTCCATGCTTTCACTGGAAACTCCGTGTTTAACGTCACATTGCAACGAATTGTGGGTTCTTCCTTTTGGGCTAAAGTCTGCAGAAATGTGGACTTCTGGGTTAAGGGTTCATAAAGGGCTGAAAATGTCTGCGAGAGAGCCCTCACACACTCGAGGAGTTGGAAGCGGGACAGAACTAAACCCCGCGTGGAGATCGGGAATTGGGAATTGGCTTTTATCCCTTCTGCGAAGACTCGCCCTACTCTGCCTCTGATTGGCTGGTGCTCGTTGCCTTCTTTGCAGAATTCATGTTTATTGCTGATGAACGAGACTGGTGGAAGGTTGGTAGAGTTAATGATATCAACTCAGATGTAGATGTTGTCATAAAGATGGCAGCCTTTTTGTTTTCGTCCTCTAATATATAATTACAATTATCATGGGAGAAATGTGTTTTTAAATGTGGCTATGCAAATTGCTTATATGGAAATAATAAAATTACACATTTGGTGTCAATTAGACTGAATGTTGATGACACACTGATTAACAAGAACATTTTCAAAAAGTTAGCTGAACCCTGAATGTATAATGTAACCTGAACATAATAACCTTCATGACGGTCGCAATGATTGGGCTTCATTTAGGAGAACCTAATAAACTGGCCACTGAGTGTACAGTATGTTGCAGTTACTCGTCGGTTTCAGTTTTCCGTCTGTGAGTCGCTGGTGAAAACACATCGTTAGAGCTGCCGCTGGTCCGGGTGAAGGCGTATCTGTTCTGCCCTCATAAATCATTCAAAAGGCAGTTTCTACTTATATATGAATATACGAGACCCTGCATGTTGGACAGAGATGTTCAGATATGTATTTACATTAAAAAAAAAAAGGTGCACAAGAGTGTTTAACCACAGGTGTGTAGTACTAGTTTGCACATGCTCAGAGCCATCATGGCAGGATGTTGGGTCCAGGTGACGCCTGTTGTTGTTGTTCCTTTGTCGCATAAAAGAGCTGATAAATGATATGATAACGAGATATCCGATCCGTTCATAGACACGTCTGTTCTCGGTCCAGTATTTTGGGCTGTATCGGAGGCATTTCTGATACGGGTATCTATATCAGAACAACTCCAGTCGTGGATGTTGTGTATTACCTCTGTCCATTTCACAAAGAACCGTTTTGAGCAAAGCTAATTCTAACGGTGGTATACTTCAATCCAGTGAGCAATCGTAGTCGCTCGTCACATCCCTCTTTCCGTTTACGTGCTCACTGGACCCACACGGCCTTCAATGTCCAGAGGTAACACAGAGACTTAAAGGGAATATAAGTGGCTCACAAACTCACCCCAGGGGGAGTGGACGCTCAAATTGTTGTTGATGAGAATGTTGCAGAGAACCTAATTGTTGTCATGTAATAGAACTACCGACCCCGAGGCCAAACGAGCTGAAAGTGAAAGTTAGGATGCAAATAATGCCATTGCACCATACGATGGTTCTAAATGGTATTTCGCTCCAAATTGCTGCAGTTTTGCATTAAAATGCTTTTGCTCGGCAGCTGCGTGATGCAACCGAACATTTAAATATATTTTAACCTCTAAGCTTGATGACAGTCCTTGAGTGAAGAGCCATTACCAAGGGTTGTACTCCACCGAGTAATTGATGTCTGCATCCTACATTCATACGACACGTGCATTTAAAGAATAAACGCAATAGAACAAAACCATTTACTGTTCAGGTGACAGCTGTGATCCGATGCGTCAGATAGACTCTGCCGGTGAGAGAGGGGAGAAATCGTGCAGCCATGTCTATCTGACAGAGTATACATTGCTTTTATTCCCTCTCACATGAGCTTGTCGGTAAATCCATTATCTGCCCGTGTGTCCTTCAAGCTTCAGGGAGATTTTCTCAACCTCAAACTGTTGTAAAATTGTTGCCAGCCCCCTCTCCTCCGAGTCGCGCTTTTGTTCTCGGGGTGTGCAACGGCAGAGTCGGAAATTAATTGCACTTTCATTTCTCAGCCAGATGAAAGACTTGGGAAATGTTCAGGTGTGATAAATAGGACTCTCCTCCAAATTGCAGCCCTGCGGATGGCCTCTTGTGCTGCGTGTCTTTGGTGCAGCTCATAATCACAGGTAGCACCTCTTTTTCTGCTAAAACATCAGCACTGCCAGCTAATCCATCTCAGCTCTTCTGCAGCGCCTTGTACATCCACTAAAAATAGCAGTGTTATGACGAGCAATGGGGGAAATCAATCGACACTGACGGGTGGCTTTAGCCCATGTGTGTTTATCATGTAAGCTGTAAAGTGCTTCATTTTAATGTACAAGTGCTTGTTTCACGGTGTATAAATTAAGATTTCAGGATGGTGATGGTAGTTTGACACTTTGACTATTATCTTGACAACTAAAAAGGCAATTTGCTATGAAATATGATCTCAATATTCATGAAGCCCAGCGGCCGAATCTTAATGGTATTCGTGACCTCCTGAATTTTTTCCTCTAGTGCAAACAAAAGGCCAGATTTTGTCCTTGAGCAACAGTTTCTGGAAATATTCATGAATCATGAAATTGGTTGTGGATCCTGCTAAAAGCAACATAACTTAGAGTAGAATGCAAACTTTAATCCATTAATTAATTAGTTGTCAACTATTAAATAAATCAGCAACTTTTTTGATTCATCAAATAATTGGTTTGAGTAATTATTTAAGAAAAATAGTTTTTTTTCTGGTTTCTTTACTGCTTTTGGAAACACTGATTGATGATTCTTTACATTTTAAAATAAATAATCTTTCATTGCAGCCCTAATTTAAAGAGTACAGTCTTATTGCAGACAGAAATCATGGCGCAAACTATGACATTTAGTTTAAGATAAACCAGAATCACATATCAGAATGTGGTATGAAAGCAAACCAGCTGACGCTCCATTAGGTTTTGCTGTAACGGCTCCGGTTTCTGTTTCGGATGTGTTTCTTTGCACGAGTCTGGATACTGACGTTTTGACGTAGGGGTCGGAGAAGCCGTTGGCGTCCATGGCGGCGAGGTGAGCGCAGCGTATGATGCCCACCACCAGGCAAGATTTCTGGGTGTTGTACTTGAGAGAAATCATGATGCGTCCTCGTTCCTCCAGGGACTTGTCTTCTGTCTTGTTGACCTGCAGTGGTGAAAAGGACAATGTTTAGTTTTCAGTTGAACACGTGCAGGCATTTATGCCACCGAGTGGCTGTCAGCCAGCCGCTCTGCTTCATGCCCAGCGCCATTTGCAACAGATTTCTCTCATTTCTGGCATCATCCTCATTTGATTAAACCAAAGCTTTGATTTCCAACATGCTGTTAATCCATGTAGACAACAACATTGTTACATGGAAATGTTTTTAGATCCTAACAGTTTGTTTTTGCCATGTTAAGCATTTTGTGAAAGTAAGTCGATATCATAAAAAGTCTTCAGCGACTTCTTGACAGTTGTGTGTCCTGAAAATCAGCCGTACACTGATTGGCTGATTAATGGCACCTCCGTTGTAGATGGTGAGTTAATAGCCTCATCAAAATTAATTTGACATCTTCTTCAGGGACGAGACAAACATCTGAACTGACACACATCAGGCCTTCTCACTGATGAGCGCAACATTCAACAAGAGGACCAAACTGTTCACGTCCTGCCGAATGAACGCAAACATTTTTTGTCTTGATTTGACATTACAGGTGATTTTTTTTTTTTTTGGTAATTTTGCACGCTATGATGTCATTTCAAACCATGCAGTGTGAATGTGCAACAGCTTGTGCTATTTATCCGTCTTCCCAGAAGATGGCTCAATTTATACAGGCTGGTCTCATCCAGCATTCGTGGCTTTAGCTAGTAAAAACAATGCGTCTTAATACGTAGATATTCCACAAAATGATTTTGTATGTACGCCTCGTAATCATGAATGAGGAAGTATGAAGAACACACAAGCCCACACCGGGCGGGAGGGAGGTGGTGGGTCCAACAAACAGCCATCTTTCAGAGACCGCTGTTCAGTTCCTGTGTGAAACGAGAAGTCAATGTTGATTTATTTGTCACGTAACTTGCACACTTCAGTAACGTAATGTGGTTATTTTAACCCAAATGACAATCTTTTCCCAAACCTAACCAAGTAGTTTTGTTGCCTAAACTTAACTGAACTAAGTAATAATAAATAAGGCTATCAATAACCCCCTTCCTCTTATTTATACTGTCCCGTGTAATGCGTTTTAGTTGCCACATTATCTTTTATTACTCAAGAGGATTACATGAACGTGCTCCAATTTAAAAAGTGTAGCCTGATTAACTTATTAGGTTGGTTGAACGATTGAATAGCTCATTCAGAGATATTTTGAATATCTTCAAGCTGGCAGTTCTTGCAGCCTTGGAACCAAAGTCCCTTTCCAAGCCCGAGACCAACTATCTGATTAGTGAGTCAGTTTTTACCTAATGGTTAATGCTTAGCCTCTTTTCACATTCTTTCACTGCTTCACTGTTTCACAGAGCACTCCGAAGAGAGAAACATACTTGAGCATATGACTTTTTCGTGGTTCCTAAAGAGCTATTTAAGCTTTGTTTTTTCCACTGCTATACCCAATGACTTAGAAATGCAATTTACCGGCAAAAGTCCCGCAGCTGCTGAGTGTGTGAATATGCACTGGGCTTTCCTCTACACCAGCATTCATTCTTTACCACATATACAGTATAAGACCATTCATATCAGCTGAGGAAATGCACAGAGAGGCTTAACGACTTCACGCTTATCAATGGCTACTTGAAAGTGCATGGACTAGTGGAAATGGGACTGAGCGTTCTCTTACTTTGGTTTGTGCTATTTCAAATTGATATGCATTAGTTTTTCCCTGTCTCACTCTTCCTCTCTGTCTCCGAAGCGAGGGTCTCGGGACCGAGGGTGTTGAATGCTGTCTAGATTGTGAAGCCCCTTCAGGCAACTTTGTGATTTTGGGCAATATAAATGAAATTGACTTGATGACAAATTACATCACACCCCAGAGCTAAGCAATACAGTTAAACCTAAGCGACATATAGTTCTAATACTTTGCATCTTAACATGACAATGAGGGCGGAGCTAAGTACATGCTGAAAAAGATATTGTTGGGCAACCAAAAATGTTACATTAACTTTCATGAACTGAAAACACACTGTGAATTGGTTAAAGTTGACGAAAACACGGACAACTCCGAGACCCGACAACGTTATGGTAGCAACCTGTCAATCACCGTGTAGCCCCGCCCTAAAGCATCCCCTGCTTTATGGTCTGTGTGACTCTAAATGGACCATAATGTACTAAATGAACATCATGCTGTATTGAAGAAGACTTGAAACTAGAGATTGAGACCATAAACTCATGTTTACAATGTTTACTGAGGTAATAAATCAAGAGAGAAGTAGAGTCATTTTCTCATAGACTTCTATACAGAGGAGTCACCCCCCCCCCCTTCTGATTTGTTTTCGTCCAATGCAATTTAATGAGAATTCTCCGCGTCCATGCATGTCCATGTGTTGCAAGTAGATACACAATGGGAACAGGTAGCCAATGTGTTGCATTCATATATGTATTATAAGAACTGAATACTGGATCCTGAGATGGTGCCCATCAATGAAAAACGCTCACCAACCTCATAATCCAAACAACTTGTCTTGCTTTATGCTTTGCTTCATTATGGCTCATGCACTCACTGGGGTGACATCACGCACATTCAAAACCCCTTTTTTACAATTCCATGTCGCCTGTCAACAGTTTTTAAAGGTGAATGAATTCCTACAAATTAAATTGATTCCATTGAAAAAATGCTATCATCAAATAATAATGATAAGAAACATTTAAAGCAGCTATAATCCATATTTTTTAATAATGTATTAAGTGACGATGTGGAAAAAGCCTCCTCTAGTGATGAACCTAATCTGAAGCTCCCCTCTGCTTTATAGCGACTTTCAGCTTATTATTTAGCTGTCCAGTGGGAAATTGTACTATTTTGGTTCACTCTCGCTGCTCTTTTGTTGTTGATTTAGTCGCAGCAGGCATCTGCCGTCAAAAAAATCAGCTATTTTTTCTTTTTACATTTTCAAATCCAAAATAATTTTACAAGCTCGAACAAGTCAGTCTGAATACATGTCTGCAGCTATGAAAAAGCTCCAAGCAGTGGCCTTTGTTGCAACACTCACACATTCACTGCAGAAACACCGACGCCCGTAACATTCACAAACGGTATAAGAATAATAAAATGAAGAAGAAAAACAGGCCGAACGTCTCTGCAGACACAGACTTGTACTGTGTGCAGGAGACGGTGCTCAACAAGCTGTCCAGCGGTGTCCACAGCAGGGTACTAATCAGATATCTCCAGGGAACCGACTCTCTCTCCATGAATCACAGATGACTTTTAAAAGACGTCTCACTGAACTTGTGGACTCGGCATCCATCTCGTCTGGCATGCCGACATGTTTCAGCTGCCGCCTCGGTTTACTGTCAAATCCATTTAGTACCGTCTCTTCTTCTGCTGTTTATCCGTGTTTAGGACATCCCACTGTTGTTTCTGCCTCTCCGTCTCTGTTTAACAAGATGTTCGGCGGGAAGTCTGTGGCAAACCAAGAGGCTGACAGGAATACAAGAGTGTCGAGATGGAAAGCGAAGGAGGAAGTACAAACCTCAGGCTGCCTGGATGGCATCAAGGTCCTGACAAGTGCTGACATCTTTTCAGCACTGTCGTCTTTTCCATTTCACACTCGCAGATCATCCATGCACCTTGGCTACTTGCCTCCTTTCTCTAACAAATCACTTTTAAGATGCTATATTTATGAATTTATACAAACAAATACACTCATATTAAACTGACAATTCAGTTAATGACCAGACAACATCATTAATCGCGAGAAAACTAAAGCTACATGGGCCTCTGCTCTTCTTTGACTCTGTCTGCTCTCTGCTTTCATGGACGGATTACTGAATGGGCCAACCAGGAAGAGACTCAAAATGACCACAAAGACAAATAAACAACTACAATGACACAAAAAACGAACACAGAGAGACACAAATCACCTTAAAGAAAAGAGATGCACAACAGCTGTGGAAGAGACGATGAAGACACTAAATGACCATAAAGAGACACGAAACAACTACAAAGAAGCAAATGCTCACAAAGAGACACAAAACGACAATAGAGAGAGACACAAGATTACCATAAAAAGGGTCAAAAAGACAAAGCTAAACAACTACAGTCTGCATGTCTCGATCCTATGCCGCGGTAGAGGTGGTGGGGCCTTTTCCGTTCGTGTGCCCAGGGGCCCGTTGTCTCATAATCCAGTGTTTTATTCTGTGAGCTTCCTTTTCCTCTTCCCATCAATCTGCTCAAACATAAAATCTACTTAATAAATAAACACACTGCTGTGCAGTAGTGTGTGCTTAACATTTTCCAGCTAATTGTCCCATTGCCGGGGGGAAAACTCAATTAAGATCGGCTGGAGGATGTCCATTAATTAAATTTAACACACAGTATAACTGGACACCTCCGACGTGACTGTCTGAACATCATTCTAAATGAATGTAGCTGCTGAGCTAAATAATCGAGTGAGATATACACCGCTCTCTCTGCATCTTTGTTTTCTGTAAGGCTGCAGAGGCAGCAACCCAACACAATAATATTCCAAGTGTTCCAGGTATTACTCAGCCCCTTAGGGGTTACCAGGGAAACAGCGAAATTACCTGGAAAAAAGGTCAGGTGACATCCCAGGATGAAGGGGGGGTTTTCCTTTGACTGAGCCAGGAATCAATTCCAATTTCTTAACGTACAGTTCGAAGTGGAAACCCGTAATTAACTGCCACAAGTGGCAACCTCTGCCCATCTCCTGACGTGCTGAGATGAGCACAGGTCTTTTTACTGTGCCGCAAATCATTAGCAAGCCTCTTTGAAACAATGCTCTGTTAGTTCAGGATATGAGGCTGTAAAAGTGTGCAGCAGGAAGCTGGGCCAAAGCACCATCTCCTGCCAATGTCTTGGTTGGATCCCTGAGATCAACACCTCTCAGAGAACAGTGGGACTCGCCGACTATTGTGCTGATGCAGAAGAAGAAGGTTTACAGGCCACTGGCATTCAGTCTGCACACGCACTAACATATTCCACAGAGAGGTTAAAGAAAGTGGTGCTGATGAGAGAAGAGGCACAATCCCAGAAGAGAACCTGGTGCTCAAAGGCGTAAGGATGTTTTTCTCACTAAAAGAATATTGCTTAAAATAAATAAATAACAAAAACGAGACAAAAACATTAAGTATAACGCCCCTGGGTGCTGCAATATGAAATAAAAATGTAAAGTATTTTGATTTGATATTTTTACCTGAAAACTCTGTTTCAAATCTGAAGTTTTTCTTTGTAACATTTAACAGTCACGTCTAAAAAAAATCAAATAAAAACTTTGGGATGAACATTCTAAATGATACTGCAATCTCAATTTCAACTGTTTTACATATTTTTTTGAATCCCGGTTTGAGTTTGTATTTGGCGTATCACAAATAATCAAATTCCCCAAAGGGAGGGGGTCGGGGTGGATGGATGGGTCGAACAACGGGAACTTTCACCCAGGAGAAGTAACATACGTATTTTATCCCAAAATATGATCTCTTACTGAACATAACCAAGTAGTTTTGTCGGCCAGACCTGTTGCTTGTGCCAAAAGCACCACAAGCGGTGAAAATACTATAACATTGACACGTATCTAGAAATATTGATAAGAAGCGTAGAGATTCAACGTATCTGTGATATGCAGAAACATACAAGAAAAACATTTTATGACTGGGTTTCAGGGACAGAACCCACGTTCAAGAGAATATTTTGATCTGAAACTCGTGGTGTCATTAATATAATGTAACTATCATCCTCTGGGGACCATGAACGTCCATACTGTCACAGTTCACTTTAAGACACCCCCCCCCCCCCACCACTAATTACAGATTTTCCCGATACAATTTTTTTTTCTTCACGCCGAATCTGACACTTGAACTTGCATATTGGCTGATTCTGATTGCCGAATACCGGCAATAAAACCTTTTTCAACAGCTGTTTACTGCTTACCCTGTTTGAATACGATATGATTGCTATTGTTGTCGTATGTCCTGTCTCCGGTTAAACCCTTTGTGGAACACGAACAAACGCATACAGAGAATGAATGCCATATAACTTTGTTTTATTGTCTAGTTTGGCAGATTTTCCTGTGTTAAATATTGCCATTTTGCTCACATTTTGAATGCTCTGGCCAACACTGCACTCTCGTCTTGCACTTGCCAGATCGGTATTGCACATGTGCAATTACTGCTGTGATTTATTTCAGATGCAGTGATTGTTTTTTTCCGGTGCTGATGAAGAGTTACACATGTTCAGTACAAATCCTGCAGGATGTACTGATCGGGTAGCCAGGGACACGTGTTGTTATTGTTTCTTTGTTGCATAAATTAGCTAATAAATGACATATCGTGGTGTCAGATTGGTGCGCATCCAGCATTTTAGGCTGTATTGGAGGCAAATCCGATACTGGAAAATCGGTTTTGGTACAACTCTCACACTAATTGGGCCACAATCTTTTTTGTGTGCCCTGTCCAGCAATTCAGCACAGTAGCAACATTATTGCTTGTGCTGAGCTTCCAGGGCAGACTAATTAACATCACTGTTTACATGAACTGTAATGAGACAAAGCGCTTTTTTTTCCTCCAAAATCAGGAATTAAACCAGCAGGGTGAGCTTCAAACTTGTGGCCATCTCTTAGAATTAAGCCTTTCATTGTCCAGCTGAGCTGAGGGAATGGAGAAATGTACTGCACAGAGACACGGATCCAAGATTCATTGCCAGATTAGTCTGCTGGCTCCTACACAGGTCAGCCCCTCTGCTGTCTGCTGGTGCCAATGCTAAGGGCAGATCCAGTGTTGAGGCTGGCAGACACATCCATTAGATAGAAATGGGTGAATAGTCACAATGTTTACAAGGACACAGCTGCCCGGCTACCTTCAGATTAAAACATACAAACCGCTCCTCTGTCTTCCAAAGACCTCTATGTGAGCACTTTTTATCTTTTTACTGTGGTGACAAGGAGGCGCTATCCTAAAGGTTAAAAATTCAAAATTTGTTTTAGAAAATTAAACTTTAAAATCCTGTCATTTTTTTCTGCATTTCAACTTGTGACGGGTCCATTCCACAAGCTCACAGGCTGACTGACTTGTTTAAGAGCCGGACAATCAAAATGATCTACTGTCAGCCGAAAACCACCATTAATACCCGTTTCCCTCCAAAATCAGAGCTAGCGAAACACTCTTTTCCGAGTGTGAATGCCGTGCAGTTGCATTGGCGTGGTAGATGTCACATAGGCAACTAAAGCAGAGTCGGTAAATAGTGAAAATGTTACGACGGTTACTTCTTTATTTATATGTGCTACTGTCTTTCTTTTAAACTCTCAAACCAGAGTTGGTGGTTGTTAAAACAGTGGGAAGTCTAACAAAGAGAGTTAATGAAGTGTGCTTTGATGATCAGCGAGGTAAGATGACAAGTTGTCTCACTGGAGTCTGCTGGCTTTGAGGAGAGCATATTAATTGTATGTTTTTGAACGTTCTTTAAACACCCGTGACGAATAATCAACGCAGAAATGCCAAATATTGCCTGTGAATAATGTCAAGGGCTTTTATTGTGAAGTTGAGAGCGGAAGGAGTGGATCTGGTCTGCGCTGGTCTGGTCTTGTTCCAAAAAACCAAAGTGCATTAATACCCGTCACTACTGCAGAGTCATTTGTCCTGGGAACAAATGCTGATTGTAGCCTTGAAGACAGAAGACAGAAGCCAGATGTTGGCGGGTGTTAGCTTGTGCTTGTCCAGTGGGAAAGAGGCTTAAGACAGGCACTGCTAGCTGCTGCATGAGATGATTAAATTGCTCGTGCTATGTTTTCCTCAGCACAGCATCCAGAACATCCTGTGTTGAGTCGGAACTCCTTATCTGCTACTTCAAGAGCAAGCGGAGCAGAAATTGTCTTTCCTTTTTTCTCTCTGTAACCAGCATCCGTCATAGCTTCCCTTTGCCTTGAAGCATTTCTATGAGAGAATGGCCATACTGTGCTTTATACTCACCCGTTGCTAGGGTAAGACATTTGACAGGGTGTTCCAAAATAGCAAAAAAAACAACAGATATGGAGTTTGACACAAACATCTGCTCCACAGCTTCTCTAAAAGCCACTGCTGCATGTGGTGATGGTCTGAGCTACCAGACCCAGTAACACCTCCTCCAGGGTTCTGCTTCCTGAATAGATGTGCAGTATAAGAGTTAACAGCATGTGCAGAGTAAAGCCATCCAATCTCTGCTGTTGATAGCTGTAGAAAAGCTACTATTTGAAGCTGGTCTACCTTCAATTTTCTAAATCATTTTCACATTTAGTCGCGGTGAAGGTATGGATTCAGCCAGAAACATCGTGTCAGGATGTGCTTTTTGTAGTGGAGGCTATGAAAATACTTGAGTGAGGGATCAGCACTGACAATTTATTCCTATTGTCATCACCTCACAGATAATCTTAATTAAACCACAAAGGTGTAGAGAGCTGTTGCAAATTATAACTACCAATGATTTCATACACACACAAAAAAGAAAGTGGATTTTTAACCATCACTGCCGTCTTCTGGCACTATTACTCTGTAGTCATGACGAATTAAAACCATGTGAAATATAGTCTGTTTGGAAGTATACCATGTATTTACATTAAGTAAACCTTGACAAAATCAGAGCGTAGACTGGTGAATGTGCCGTAGCTGTTTCATACGAGCATATTTAATATTTTCGGACGCTGTTTCACACTCCCACATCGACAACAAAGCATACGAGAGGAGCATACACAAAGCAGTGCTCTCTGTATGGGTGATCCAGAATTACACAGTATTCCTGTTTTTTTCTAACCATAAACTGTGTAGGCAATTTGAAAAGGATGCTCAATCACAGTTCAATGATACTCCACTCCACTCCCATGTTCTCACCGCACATAATCCACTCCCGCTCCCCACTCATGGGCTCAGAACCCAAAGGAAAACCTCACGAATGCTGTTGTTTGTACTGATGTTCTTCTTGCAATTACCAGCATGTAATTGTTGACATGTACATCATTGTGGGTTCAGATTTAAGCTTTTATGTTAGTTTTTCTGGGTATTTCAATTAGTTTCCAATCACATGCTGTTCCTGTGAACAGTGTTATTTAAAAGGTGAGTTATTGGCACCGGTTCAGCATCATTTTTGTATTTACACAACACTGAAACGCCAGAAATGTTTTTTTTATCATTATAATAATCCCTTGACAATAAGAAAAATGACTTAGGTATTGCATTTACAACACCCTGAATAAATTGTTACAGGGGTAGTTAAGAAAGTGCGGCTACATTGCAGTAAGCCACAAATATATTGATAAAAAAATGATTAGGTTTGAGAACAAAGGTTATCAAGTGAACAATAAATACGAAGCTAAATGTAACACTTGTTGCTAAATGAAGTACTGTGTACTTATCCAACTTTGTCTCTGATCACAGTTGCTCTTTTTAAACACAACCACCTGAAACTACAAGTATCTGTGTGATACATTGAACTTACAGGTAATTGTTTCTCCAGGCAGTTGTTGAAGTTTTTGATTTGGTTGGGCTTCAGCTTCTTGAGCGGGATTCTCGTTTCCCCGATGAACTCGTTGTGTCGGAATTTGTCCTCATCACACACTGAAATCCTGAGAGGAGAAGAGCAGAGCAGGGAGAAGGATGAGAATGAAGTGAGGCTCAGGTTAAAGTTGTGCTGCTGAGAGGGAGGCTGTAAACCATAAAACCAGTCATTTTCCACCCGGAGTCGATCATCCTCCATCACAGGGATTCAATTCTCACCAAAACTCCTCACTTCACTATAAACCTGCCCCCGCCGACTCTCTGGGCCTCCACAGCACTGAAGCAAAACACCGGTAGCTCTGCAGTAAAGCAGCTCATAAGACTTTTGTCGGACTCGATCAGCATGACAGCCGACGATGGGATAATTACGCTTTAGGAAGCACTCGGCCATGTTTGGATCAAAAGACTTTAAATATTCTAAAGTGAGAGGTTGAAGAAGTCGAGAGGTATTTCAGGTGATAGAAAAATGATGTTCTGCTCATTTCAGAGTCATTAAAAACCAAATCACGACTTTAACTTGAACATATCTCGCTGTGCTGATCTTATTTACTCAATTAGTGCAGCTTGAATGGAAATGTGCCGTCGTGCCGTCAGTCTGTTTACTTATTACTATAAAGTGATAATTTTCTATCTGTTTCCACCGAACGCATAAAGACAACACTGTTTTCAATGCATGACAACAGCCTTTGAAAACCTAAGTGTATGTTTTGCGAGTGTGTTTTTCAATCACCAATAAGAAGAAGATCCACTCTGTTCCACAGTATGACTGCGAAGGAAAGATAATGACCGATGGATCTCGATTCACAACCACTGAGCACACATATACGGTACACTTTAACTTTCCAGACCGGAGATCTATGTTCCTCGCCACCATTTCATTACATTTATAATGAATGTCAATTATTGGTGTGGGAATACGCTGCTCTCGGCAGATCTACGTCTTCAATAAATGCAGAGGGCGAGTCCCTGACACGACATGATTCACACTTCGTCAGGCTCCTGTAGTGGAATGCTGTTTGCTTCAAGTGTTTTTCTGCCGTACAATCAGCCGACACGTGGAGAAAAAACATGCAGCCGATAGCATGAGTGATAAGTATTAGCACTGTAGCTTGTAGGGGATGCAGTGTAATTAGAATCACAACGGATACAAAAAACAACTTATCTGCTACAGTGCATGGACAGGTGGTGCTGAATTCAAATTTAAATTTAGAAAAAAAGAAATGAACAGTGTTGTCTGGGAATGTGGAGGCTTTTCTCACAGTATTGTTCAATGGTTAATGGAGGAGCTGTTATCTGAGTAGGTTGTGTGAGTTGTGAACTCACATCTCTGAGAAGTGGCCCGGTGTTACCGTCGTGGTACTCGGTGCAGTAAAAATGCATATTTTTCTCTGCCCTGCAAAACACAATCACCATAATATATTTGCAAAGCATTGATAAGAGCGTCTGTTAATAGCAGTGATTCAACAATTACTTACTACATTACTACAAGAAATGAGGATGTTAGAATTAATAATTACATTTGAAATAATTAGAAGTAATACAATCTAATTTGAATGACATGTTGACCACGATGGTGAATTGATGAGTGCTTGAGCGTTCCTCAGCCATTAATCCAATAAATCTACATTTAAATACTGCGCAGATTTTTTATTCTCACTTTGTTTTGTTGGCATGTCTATTCATTGCGTCCAAAAGTCCAAATTTATCAAAAAAAAAAGAGAGATGTGATCATTTCCAAGCATCACAACATGTTTTTATCTAACGAAATATTCTGCTTCAATCCACATTCGTTCAAAAACAACTTTTTCACTGTCGGGGCTTCAGCCTCGGTGAGCCGGTGCATGAGCAGCCATAGCCCAGAGAATCGTGCGATAAAAATGTAAGCGCAAAAGCAACGGATTACCTCATTAAGCAGCATCATCAGTGACGATATGCAACAGGAAGACCACCAAAGGACATATGGATTATGGCTGCCGGCGCCGCTGATCCCTGCTGTAGTTGCTGAGGTATATTCCTCTAAACCACAAATGTCAACCTCATGGTGGCGCCAGAGGAAACGTCAGTGTGGTCCAGATTCTGGGGACCATGAATATTTGTGCAAAAACCTTTTTGGCAATCCATCAAATCGTAGTTAAGATATTTTGATCTGGACCAAGTGCACGGCAGAAAGATCAACAGCCTGACAGCCTAAAAATGGCATGGCCACTACGCCAATCAGTTTCTCCCAGTGTGCAACAAACATACAAGACTGCTGGGTAATATAATGAGCCCCCGGCACGAATAGGAAGTCACAGCTGTAGGTTAGGAGACAGCACATTAAACACACACAGTAGTTTCTTAGATTCTTGGGGGTTAAACAGAAAACTAAAGCAAAATGAAATCCTCCACAGCATGCAGCCCACCTATCATTGGGATACATATTCTGTACTGTAGCTACCAAAAGTGATTACGCATTTGATTATATAACCTACTTCTACTACAGTGTTAACACTTTGGTAAAAATAAAGGAGCAAAGAACAGTGAAGTAACACTTCCATTGCGTAACGGTGTCATATTTATCACGAGAAGCAGACGTTTCTGCTGCAGGTTTGCAGTCTATTCTCAGGTGTTGTTGTGAAATACAAATAACCAAAAACAGGAAGTTATCTCAAACAAACAACGTGCTGTTGGGAGATTACACAAACAAAAGGATTTCCCCGGCCCTTAAACTGATGGGGGGGGGGGGGGATCATGCGGTGCCGGTTCGCCCCGGCACCGAGACTCATCATAGATCGTAGTGAAGAAGAATACGCGGGATGAATAAGTCATGGAATGGCTGTTGTCACATACAGGCTGTAATGCAGTGATTTATCTCAGGAGCCACGAAGAAGAGAAACCTGAGGAGTCTGAAGCCTTTCAACACAAATCTAAAGCAGCTGACGCTTAAATATACAGAAACATGGAAAAGCATATTTTATCTCTTCCACTCTTTTTCATTCTTTCTATAAATATTCTTCCCTCTTTTTCCCTTTGTCCCTTTTTATCTTTTTTCATTTCCTCCATGTCTTTTGTTTTCGTTCATTCATTCCCCTCCATTCCTCTAATTACCTCCCTCAGTTCCTTCCTTTCTTTTACTTCCATTCCTTTTATTCCCTTCCTATCTTTCCTCCCATTCCCTTTTGTGTTCTTTCCTTTTCTTTCCTTTCCTCCCCTTCCATTCATTTATTTCCTCCATGTCCTTTACTTCCATTCATTTAATAAACTCCCATCCTTTCATTCCTTTTATTTCATGTCTCCATTCCATCCCTCTCATTTCCCTTTCTCTCTTCCATTGCTTTGTCACTCCTTCCTTCTATTCTTTCCTCCTCTTTCTTTCTTGCCACACCTTTCCCTCATTCTTTCCTTTCCTTTTCTGGTGTTCCTTCCACCTTTCTTCTTTCCCCATCATTGTTTCCTTCCAGTAGTTTTAGTCTTTCTCCTCATCCTGGGCATTCATTAGGTTGAGAGTAGCCTACCTGAGTGTTTTGCGGACCATATCCTCGTCGGTGATGCCGTAGTAGGTCAGGGTCTCGCTCCAGACAGGGTTGAGTGTGTTGTGCAGGGTCTTGGTTCTAAGTTTATTGGCCTGAAAGACAAACGGAGAAGTTGGTCATTAAACAGGATTAAACATCTTTATTGATTAACTGCTGGTTCCCCTCCTACCACTCAAGAGAGCTCATCCCTCAGGTGTCAAATATCCATTGAAATGTTGCCAGAATTATATAAACACCCCTAAAAATGCACAAAGCCTCTCCGCCCTCGTGGAAATTTGTCAATGCGTTGACGTCTGGTGGCACGCATGCAAACACCAGCTCGGGAAGGACAAACAAACCAAAGACTCCATTTACATGAAGTGACGGGCGTAATCAAAGCAACGCAGGAAGACAATGAAGTTATAAGATAGTTACGAGGGCTCGGCTCATGCTCAATCTGTTCCCGTTTCTGTCAGCACCACATTTGCTGAGAAAACAATGTTCCAATTATAAACAATGCAACAATACTGTCCATGAACAACACCTGAGAACACACAGCTAAGGCAATTAACACCGTACGTCATTGATAAATGATGATGCATGCATTCAATGAGACAAGCGACACATCTTAAGATCCATAGAAAATAAATAGAAAGCTAAGAGGTAAAAAAAAAAGTGGAATAATGCACCATTTATCAAAAAGAGAAGTTCAAGTACAGCCGGTTCCAATATCCAAACCACAACAGAAATAAAAAAAGAAAAGTGTCCCGAGCTGAGACTAAGGCCAGGATTCCACCGGGTCTTAGTCTGCGCTGCTTTCTGGGTCCCTCCGCCTCATGGACCGTCGTGGCTGTAGCGACCTCAAGGTCAGCTTGGCTAACCCCAGCGCCTCCGTCTCCGGCGCGTCTGTCTGCTACTCATTTTCTGTAACGTTGGCATGAAAACATGGTGGAATCAGCAAGCTAACGAGCGCTAGCGAACGAGCCAAGCGGTGATTGAGAAAACATAACACTCCGGCTACACACTTTGTCACAGCATAGGAAAACACATCAGTACCTCCAGATAATCGGTCGTTAAACCTGATGTTGTGATGTTGTGATTGATCTACAGTCACAGAACAGACTCGTGCTGTGATTGTAACGCTACACTGTGGTTGCTGAACGATAGATGCTGATTCGTGGCTGTTAACATTCTTTTATGTCATGACTTAAATTAGTCCCAATCTGTCGAGTCTATCTCAGAATTAATCTTGACAATTAGGTCTGATTTGAAACAGTAGATGGCCTTCTGAGACAATTTGAACCCCAAAATGCCCATTTTTATAAATTTTGCGAGAAATGTCAATATATTGTATATAATATAATACATATACATATATATACATATATGTATATACTGTATATGTATAGTTTATATATAAAAAACACTTTGAAGTGTTCAGTTCCTCTTTAAATGGTTTTACTTTTCTGTCTGTTTTTTGATGAAAATCAGATCTACAGATAGATACTGCGTTATTGTGGTGTATCTACTTCTAGATCTTTCATGGGTGTGTCAGACAGATTATCAAGAAGTGCATTAATCAGCACCAGACTGTTGTAAAGCGTTTTTACTGACTGACTTTGTCAGAGTTGCATCAATTGCAATCCAGCGAGGTGTTAAAAATGGCCGTGACAAGCAATTTAAACAATAAGCTGGTTGTGATTTATTTACAAGTCTGATGGCAGCGATCCACGTAATAAGGCTCTCGCTGACTGTTTCTCCCTCAATCAGTGGGTGATTCCCACAGGAAGGGTGTTGAACACACAGATGCACCGAGCATTCAAAATGATGTTTGTGGCTGATAACACGAATGCAAATAACACTGTGGCGCCTTCAAGATTGAACGGGCGTTATCAGGCTTCATCAGCCTCATGGTTGTGGGTTGGAAGGGGCCGACTGGTAGTTTCACAAGGCCGTTATCATCCATGCACATGATCGATCAACCAATACGAATAGAAGACAATGACGCTGACATCTAGTGGCCGCTGACTATGGCGGGAGTAAAGGCCTTCAGACAACGGGGGCTTTTACTTTGCACATTAATATATATTTTTATATCAGTTTTTGTCACGAGCACTTTGAAACAAAAACGCGAATATTACACGGCAAAAAAGGGACATCCTATTATTCTACGAGGTCGATTTTTCTGAGCTTTCGCACCACAAAAAAAGACATCAACCAATCACGCTGTGCAGAATGGACAATGTTACAAGAAGACATTGCAATGCTCTGTAATATGAACCAAGACGGCAAACTTTATTGTCCCCTTGAGACTATGTTTGCAGGCTAGTATTTCACATTTTATTTCATTTAGCTGGTACGCCCCCCGGTGTGTCTGCTGATGTTGCATAAGAAGCGATAAAGCCCACATAAGGGTGCTGGGGCAATAGATGGGTCAAACGAACTAGTACTTTCTATTGCTAAACTATTTGTTCTTGACAGAGTAAAGACATTTACAGCTGTGCATTAGACGTGGGTTAGATAAGTGGACACGCTGTGGACTCCAGTTAATGTTAACAGTACTGCAGGAGTGAATATTACAAGAATTCCCCAGCGTAGTTGCACGACAACAACACTAACATGTAACACAAAGATGATCTTAGTTCCAGTAGTAGTATTGATAACTGTCTAAAGCAACGTTCCCATCCTTGATGGTCAAGGTCTTCTAACTGTAGAGGGGGGCATCTTGATTATTTTAAACGGCCACCGTGTTATATTCTAAGTGGATTGTTGGCAGGATGGCAAAAAGCAGAAGACGTGATCAATAGCATTACAATGCTTGTGGACAGGGATGTCAGTACATCTCAGTGAAGGGCGTTGACCTGAAGTTGTGACTCAACAGGTATTTCATTAAAGCCATCCTTGAAATGACATCATGTCGGTTTGAAAGGCCGCTGGTTTTAACTGGGGTGAAGAAATAAGTGAATTAAATCGATAAAGTGTGAACCTGCAGGAGAGACGGGAGTTTTTCTCTTGTACTGCGCGTGTAATCAGCATGCGTGAAAGCGGAAATAATTCACCACCACCTGCTCACAGACGGAGGCCGGTGCTACAAATGAGCAACCGGTGTCACGAGTCATTGCAGTCATGCCAAGGTTCAAAAAGCCTTTGCTCTCAAGCCAATTATTGCAGTATTTTGGCATGGACCTCTGCATCTCAAACTAGTTTACAAGGCCCCCATATCTGAAGGAGGGGGGGGGGGGGAGAGACAGACAATCAACTGGCTGCAGGTGAACACACTGCTGTATCAGACAGTTCAGTGACCCACTTTCAATCACAGCAGGTCCTTCTTAAACCCTTTGGTTCTGAACTGTTTGAGTCCCATGTCACCCTTATATTATCTGTGGTATTTATTCAAAAGTTAAGTGAAACATCAAATGGCTCCGCGAAGGCCGACCGCGGTGTAGAGCTGAGGTTATGTCACCATAAAGTTAACAGTGCGGCTGACCTCGCTGTTAGAGCTTTTGACACTTGGCTGGTGTTAAATTCACAACTCATCATAGTGACCAGCAGCTGCTGCTGGATAGAAGGAATAATAACCAGTGTTTGGAATATTAGTTTAGAAACGAAATAAACTGATAAGACATGGACTCCATTTCAAGGTAATTTAAATAAAAAGGAGCTGTTTGGTGTCTCTGACCTGTTTTATGACCTCTTTTCTTATACAAAAGTCAGGTATTGAAAAACAATCAAGTGAAACAATTAAATACGTTTCATCAGGTGCGGAATGTGTACGTCATGTATTTCTATCAACAACAGCATGCCACACAATTAAGCTGTTACTGCAATATTATGATGAATGGCCTTATTTTCTGCTGCTACTGTATTTGTCGACCGTTAATCACCTTGCGGTCTCCGTGAAAACGTCCTGATTCCATACAGCCTCCTGTGAGTAATCGACAGTTTCATCTGGAACAATTACAGGCATTTCAGTGATTGTGGTCTCAAAGGAGATGGAACTGTGATCTGGCTTTGCAGCGGAGCGTGAAACTTCACTTCTGATTAGAGTGCAAGCAGAACTTATGACCTCTTTAGTGGGTCTTAATGAGGCTCTTAGACCGAGCCTAATGATTATTTTGAGAGCAAGCTGAGAGAAATGTCAGAGCGAGGTTTGGGGGGGGGGGGACGCCATCAACAAGTTTTTACTGACAGGAATATGCAAAATGCTCTGTGATGCCTCCCACTGAGATGCCAGGCAAATCCCTAGAAGCCACATGCTCTCATGGAGTTTTATTTCACTCAGCAGTGAAATAATCTGACATTTTATAAAAAAAATACACCACAGCAGGACACATAAAGCCCTTAGTTGAAACCAATCATTGGGGGCGGGGGGGGGGATGCGACACCGGTCAGACTATGTGGGTGACAAATGATCTCAAGTAACTAAAGTGCAGACACCAGGCTTCTCCTGAACAGCCAACATTTTTGTCAGATACCCAAAAAATAATTGTAAGAAAGTTTTAAAAGTACATTTAAATCGGCTTAGAAACTGCACGTGGAAAGTTCATCCACATGGAGTTGGATGGAGAGCTGGAGCAGCATGGTGGTGTGTGTGTGTGTGTGTGTGTGTGGGGGGGGGGGATAAGTGTGAGAATCTTTCAGCCTTTGTAGACATAAGTGTTGGACGATGGTCAAATCTAAAGCCTTCAATAGTGAGAGAAGTGCTCACGTCCAACACAAAACACCTCTGTTTGCTCACGGTCTGTTTTTTATTCTGTCGAACCAACTCTCGCTCAAAGTTCTCTGGTAAAGTCAGATTTTTCGATTAATCAGAAACGTCTTATTTTTGTACATTCCTACATTGTACATTGTAAGACAGATGTTAACAGATGGCCGGCTATCAGTCAGGCTAGAAGCTGTTAATATGTGCACTTTGTTGAATTTTAATATGTTTTCAGTTGACAAAGTAACCGTTTAGATCCCCAACATGTGCTCAGTCTATACAAACAATGCCTGATTAGAAATGGGCTTCCATCGTTTTTGGAGATTTGAGAGCCGTCACGAGATTCTTTAAAACCTTTGCGGCTATTGCTTGAGCATACACTGCTGTTAAAATCACACTTAATCATTTATTTATGAGGCAGTTTGCAGTAAATACTGATTGAGCATGTAACACACGTTAGTGTGTGATTTAGAACACAGCTTTGTTGTTTTTATGTTTCAGTCTGTGCATGGAATAAACACCACGTTAACTATTGAACTTCAGAGGTGCTGGTAAGAGTGATTTTTCACATTGGACCGATGTTTTGATGTTTTCATCGGATTTAATAATCTAAAACAATAAATTAATCATAGTTCAAAACCCACTTTTAACACTGAACAGCAATTATCTTGTGAGAAATCAATTAAAATGTCCATCAAGAACAAATGAAGGGATAATTCACTGCTCATGTAATTATGTGTCATTTACTTTCAAGGCACAGCAGCTGACTTTATCTGTGCAGTACATAGTGTTTTCAACTAATTCCTCGAAGTGATGCATTTCCCTTATGTGTCCTTGTGGAGAGCAAGCACAAACAATTTCTACAGTCAGACATTCATAAGCAGGTTCTACAGTATTTCTTTTTTATGTGTAAACTGCACTTTTTCAGTAAAACCACACTTTGCTGCAAGAAATCCTTTTAATCTTCCTCAGGTCGTGATGAATATAAGCAACAATCTCTGGATCAAATCTATTGGATGGATATTAAGACGGTTGGCTGATTTCTCACTGATTAAAGGGGCGGAGAAGTCGTCCAATTGAAACCAGCAGCAGGCAGACTGTTGATTTGTTTTATTCCATTTTGTTGTGTGACAATTATTACGTTACGGTTTAATTTCAGTTGTCAGCCCTTCGGTTCTAATCTCACTTTCTGATTGGCTAGTAACACATTCTCATGCTAATAATCACAACTCTCTCCAAGCATTCTCACTAATTAGTCTATTTTTTAATTTTAAGAAAACAAGTTGTGTCACAAAGAGGCACGCAAACAGTCATTTATTCAAGTTGGATAAAAAAGCGATTGTAAATGTAATTAACACTGTTCTTTGCACATACACTGCACAATAAAAGTCACACAAACGCATTGTCAGTGCTCACAATAAAGGGTGGCATATGCATGGCTGACATTATGACCATATCCATCTGTCTGCAGAGATCTAACAGATGCATGTAGAACCAGAATAACCTCAGCCTCGTAGAGAATGCAATAAGAATTAATATCATAAGAAGAGTTGTTGTGTTGTGTTTTAGTACAGCCGAGGCTGACGATGTAGAAACCTGGACTTTCCTCTTTCCCTGAGACAAACCTTCACATTATTCACTCTAATAGTAGCAGCAGTCTAAGAATATAATAAGTTTTCTTTTTATTAAATATTAAATCCATCCAACAATTATATATTCTGGTGTGTAGTGAGCATTACAACCTGATGGAGCTAAGTTTTCGGGTTGTCCGTCCGTCAGGTCTATTCTCATGAATGTGATACCTCAGGATCGCCTCGAGGGGAACTCTTTAAATGTGGCACAGATATCATCTTGGACTTGAAGGCACACAGAATACTTTGCAAAAAAGCTAAAATGACCAAAATAGAAAGGATTCCATTGTTTCTTCACGCAAACAATGGAGTCATTTCTATTTAGTTAATTTGAGCTTTTTGGTCGTTATCTTTGGTGCTTAGCAGTCGTGACTAAGAGGCTTGGATTATAGTTCACCACAGACAGTGTGACTGCAGCCAACTTGATACGCTTCATTCCACTTTGCCTTTAATTGTATAGAGTAGACGCACGCTCTTTGTCTCGCACTGACCTTTAGTTTGAAGAATGACCCCCGGTCGATGATACATCATTTGGAATGTGTAAAGCACACAGTAACATGGTTATTCATCGGTCTCCTGCATATCTGTGTAACCGCATGCATTAAAGCTGAAGTGGGTACTAAACAATTACAAAGTTCAGATGAAAAGAACAAATGAGATGTGAGTGAAAAGGTGTAGGAGAGGGAGAAGAAAGGGAGATGTGAGGCAGGTAGATGGATAATCACACAGCTTCAGCTTTCAATAAGCTGCTTTTGTGGAGTGTACTCATTCACAAGATTTAATGAAAGGATTAAATCAACCTCATGGCCTCCTGGCAGACGCAAGCAAATTAAAGAATTCACTGTCAACTAGTGAGGCATTTTGTACATTTGACACTTAAGATTAATTCCCATCATTGATTCATTTTACATGTGTTTTTGGGATTATATTGGTGGGACAAAGCAGTTGATGGGTTCTGGCATTCGGAGACCCAAGCAGGCTTTGAATGGCTCTCGCAACATGCAACATGGAGCAGACCTAAGCTTGGCTCGCACAGCACGATGATAAGAGGCACGGCCTTCCCCGGCCATTAGTGAGCGGGTGCATTAGATCAGCCAGTTATTGTTGTTTACATTGATGAAGCCCTGCACTGACATACCCTCACTGTGGTGCTCCCTGAATCATGAAATAGATTATTAGCCTTCTCCTCATGTGGGTCTATTTACTTCCCTGGAGGAAAAAAACCCAAGAAGGACTGAGCACTAATATATGTACAGTATGTATCCCTGAATACTCAGACTTCACCCATCAAACCCCAAATCATTGAATCCATTTACAGCCAATGATAGGACTGGAAAGACACCAAGTGGTCACGGACGACTTTGTTACAAGTTGATCATTTTCTTTGTGTTCTTGTGATCATGAATTCATGACTTAATATTATTCAACATGTCGGGAAATACACTTGGATTTCTCCGGGAGAGTGAGTTGAGAAGCTTGATACTGTATAACTCGTGTTATGTACGGAGCTGGACTTCTTCAGCCTCGCTGTAAGGGATAGCTTTGATGTTTAGAGGCTTGTATGAGGTACTTACCCATGCTCCGTGTGTTACTACAGTAGATGGAGCAAAGCAATGTACTGCTGTGGACGGGGGCAGCCGCAAAACATATTTTAGACACATAAAATACATTTCTGACAGGACACGGAAGTCATTTATGCTCTATTCAAAGCAAACGGACTCCATTGATGAAAACAGTCATTTTACCTCTCAGAACAAGGGAGTTGCTGGTCTCCGTCTGCCTCCATCAGTTAGTTTGTGTTATTGTGTAGACCTGCAACACGGGTCTTCTGCGATTATTAAATGACATGTTTTTTGTTAAAGGATGTTAATGAAGAGAGCATTGATAGCAGCTTCAGTGGCCCGTCTAAATAGCGTTCACTTAAACTGATATCGATTCTTTTAGATGTCTAAAATACGTCCGCAGCAGAACATTGCTTTGCTCTCGTGCTGGTTCTCCTGTCTGTTTCTATAAACTCATCTACTGTAACAGAACACCGACTATGGAGAAGAAGCTCATACAAATACTTTAAAACATCCGTTTACAAAAAGACTGCAGGCCAGTAGAAACAGCTAGCATGGTTCTGTCGAGTAGTTTTTATATTTAGCTTTATGTTCTGATTAGATAAAATAAATAAAATGTGTGAGCTTTCGACACTCAAGGTTAGCTGTTTTCATTTGTCTTTATGCTAAGCTAGGCTAAGAATGAAAAGGCAAAGTAAATCCAAAGAACAGTCATGGAGAATCAGTGTCATTCATGAACATGGTGCTCACCTTGCTGGCTCCGGGCAGTAGATGCAACTTGACGTAGGGGTCAGAAAGCCCATTGTGGTCCATTGGCTTGAGCCCCTGTGAAGTAAACACAGTGTGTAAACAATGTTACTGCAACATCACAAAACAGAGGTATGAGGTTTACAGAGAGTCTAAATGACCTCATTAGCAGCCACTAGAGGCAGCAGTGTTGGTTTCCTCAAAACTCTTTTTATTGGCGCTTTATTCTCATTTCAGACAGTAGTTGATTTAATTGTTGTTTAAATATGAATAGAAAAATAATGGCATCTGAACACGATGTACATGGCAAACACAGTATGTACAAACATAGACACATTTGTAATCTTTCTGCCTTTTCGTAGTTTTATGTCGCTTTGTGGTCATTTTGTATCTTTTGTCTCTTTGTAGTCTTTCTGTGTCTCTTTGTAGTTGTTTTAGGTTTCTTTGTGGTCATTTTGGGTCTTTTCCTGGTTGGTTTGTGTCTCTTTGAGTGACATTTAGTAGGTGAAGTCCAGGGGGGCCTTGACACTTTGGGCCCCTGTGTTCAATAGGTCCGTTCAGTAATCCATCCATGCATGCATGTGACATCCGATAAAAATGTCAGGAGCATACAGAAGTTTGGCCTTCTGTCCAGTTTCCCTCAACACCTTCATTCCTTGTAATTTACACTCTTTCTATCTTTTTTGCTGTAAATCATTACATCTGATCTTTGTCTCTGAGACATTCAGTCCAGCACCTCACCTCACCCTAAGAAACACTTCAGTGAAAAGGGGAAGTGAGTAAAAGAAAAGAGATTTTACCTTCCTTTGAGGAGCAAATCAATGCGACTCAAAGCGGGAGCAGGAAGTAAAGGTCACTCGTATAATGACCAAATAAATAAAACACCATGAGGGTGCCACTGAGTAAAGTAAAGTGAAAGGATGAGATGTAGAGGAAATAAGAGGAGGAAATGGAAACCTCAATCAGAAGCTCTGCCCATACAGCACAAGGAGTTTCCTCTTCTTTTTGTCAGTGTTGCTTTTGGCTTTATGTATTTATGCATTTGTTTTTGACTCTCTACCTGAATACAAGCCCATAGAGAAAGGATATTAGTGTGACCCTTCCTTTAAAATCACTTAAACTCGAATATCAAGGTTTCAACACAATGTTTGTGATATGTGTGTTAATGTAACATATCAATAAGACAAATGTCTTAAACGATTATTTTCCATAATCAAATCAGAGTTACTGTTACAACCAATATAGTTAAGAACAAACAACCTTAAAGTCACTGTGAGGAACGTTTAACTGGTTCTGAACCAGTCTCAGTGTAGTCCTGATCCTCTATCAGACCTCCATCAGTAAAGAGACCATCAGAGAGAAGATGGTCTATTTATAGAGTTATTCTTAATGCTCGTCATCGGAGCCACCGGGTCGGATTCTGGTGAAACCAGATGAAATCATGCAGGTTCACCAGAAACTCCTCCAGCTCAGAATCCAGCAGAGACCGGTCCACCGTGGACAGACCCTGATCCTCCAGCAGAGACCTGTCCACCGTGGACAGACCCAGATCCTCCAGCAGAGACCGGTCCACCG